AAAACTATCTGTGCAGTCTCATATGACATCTATGTACCAAGTTTTATTGAAATGTTATGATTAGTACTTGAGATATCAGTGGAAAAGCCGAAAATTGATTAATCATTATGCAAATTAGGTAATTAATATAAACAGATTTTTACCCAAAACTAATGAAATCTGCGCATTAGATCAGAGCATCCATGTGCCAAGTTTCATCAAAATCCAATGAGTGATTCTTCAAATATCAGTGGAACAGTCATGGAACAGCTTAAAATCAGTTAATTATCATGCAAATTAGGTATTTAATATTCATAGATTTTTACCAAAAACAAATCAAATCTGCGCATTAGTTCAGAGCATCCATGTGCCAAGTTTCATCAAAATCCAATGAGTGGTTCTTCATATATCAGTGGAACAGTCATGGAACAGCTAAAAATCAGCTAATTATCATGCAAATTAGGTAATTAATATTCATAGATTTTTACCAAAACCTAATCAACTCTGCGCATTATCCCAGAGCATCTATGTACCAAGTTTCACCAAAATCTGATTAGTGGTTCTTGAGATAACGGTGGAACAAAAAAAGTGACATACATACATACATACATACATACAGACATACGGACATACAGACATACAGACAGGGTAACTGCAAAGACTCCCTTTTGTGCTTCGCACACGGGAGTCAAAAATTGCCTCTTTTATAAAAGTTTTACTAACCTTTAATATGAACTGGTCCAGAGATAGACAGGAACTGTAATGTTGGTGGTAATCTCGGAAGTTCCTGAAAAGTGCCAGTAATGTTTTAAAATTAATATTTAAAATAAAATCTGTCAAAGCTACCATCTCTATAACCCACAGTCATCCCATAATGTTGTGTTTGATATGGTACCATAAAACAAATACTAAGGAAAAGCAAATACATTTCAGTTCTCATGAAAATCAAGTTCAATGCAATGTTGCATTCTAATGTAAAATTTGTATAAAATTTTTAATAAGCTGTTAAATGACAAACATTGAAATGAAAACACTGTGATTTTAAAAACAGTAAAATAAATACATAATAGTTGTTACTTACTGCTTCAAACCCACTCACACCTGGCATTCTTCCCATTCTACTTCTGAAATATGATTCAAAATATTAATTATAATTTATTAATTTACTTACCCCCCCCCCCCCGGTATACATCGCTTTTTACTGTTGAAAGCTGATCAAGGCAATTGTTACATAACAATAAGCAGAAATACTAATAATAAAATATATATATATATCTGGATAATAGCAAAGTGGGGTTAAATTAACAAATATGTACAAACAAATTAACTATATGCTTTCTTCAAGAAATATGTTTCTTAAATTAGTCCTAAATATTATAAAAGAAAAGTTAATTAACAATCAATCATTCAATAATACCTTTTCCAAAAACATGTCACTTCTAAACACACCATAGAAACATGAATGTGTATGAACTGAAGGTCTTACCGGGGTCTTCTATTCTGTTCACCTCCGAGGTGGTTTACCATCACCATCTTAGCCACAAGTTCACTATCAACAGATGTAGTCATGTGACTAGCAGCTTGATTCACCCTTTGGTTGCTAGTACTCTCCTGCAGCAAAAAATGTTAAAATGTTTTTTCAGTCATCAGAAATGACGAATCCATACGCAACAAAAGCCACAGGGAGGGTGTGGGGTTCTGTTATTATTACACATGTTCCATATTTGATTATTTTAGAAAGAACGTGAAATAAACCGGCGTGGGAAACCCCATTGCCCTGTTCCAAGATAGCCCTAGCAACGCGTACCAGTGTAGAACGCGTTACACTGTCTGTATGAATGAATGAACTTTATTGTTCCCGTGTAAAAAAGAGTACATAGGGTGTTTGCAACAATAAAGAATTTTTGTTAACAAGATAATATTTTGAAAATAACTAGAATGAATGTACTTAAAATGTATGAAAATAAAATAATCAGATGACTAATCTGAGTCACTGTCCGAATAAATAACTCATGGACGCTTAATTGGGGCCACAACAGAACCATAACTTGAACTGGACAACTATGATACACATTTTATGGTGAAGTTAAAAGTTCCCCCACAGATCTGTGCATTGGCAAACATGCCATGCAACCGCGGTACTTCACTGACGGGAATGACTTTCGTCGCTGCATGCTATTGGTAATCTTTATTTGGAACTGAGTAACGCCGCAATGTCGCCAGCAGAAACCTGTTACCTCGATGTCGATGGTTGCGGCTCCATTGCAATTGCTGATTTCGCGAGGAGTAGATCTTCCGAGAGCCTTTCAGGGTTTATAAAACTCAGTTTCCAGGTGGTCAACATACATTAAGTTCTCCCAATTGTAGTATTCCATGTGATGTACACCTAATATGCCAAAAATGTTGCTGAACGATTTAAACCGGATAAAAATAGTAGACGACAATTTGTTTACAAAATAAAAATAGTTTGGTTGCCAATGGAATACCATGTTCATTCGCATATCGACCGTGAAAATACTAAAAACATTATTGCATGGGTGATATTAGTTTTAGTCAAAATAAGTGACTCTCTAAATGTACCATTACTGTTGTTCAAATTTCATTTTACTCGGCAACTATATATTCATGTACCCCAAGAGAAAAATATCGTACTTCTAAATGTTGCTTATTTCTGAAATGTTTCGAAAAACTGTGCTTCTGAAGAGACTACTTGGTCCTTTGACTACTCAGTCCTCATTTGCATATGGGGTGTGGAAATACCGATTTTGATTTCAGGGATGAATCAAAATAAACTGCAGTACATATGTAATAAAAACAAGTATTGCATGCTTATAATAATACTACAATAATGTAGAAATTATAATGGAAAAAATGCATTTAATGCTACTTCACACTTTTCTAATCGATCATACATATATTCTGCCTTTAAAAATGCAGAAAAATGACTTAATTTAGCACCAATGCTGTTTTCAAGGTTATGTTTAACTTAATATCCCAGCCCCTTCCAAAAGGCTCCAAATTGAACTGACAAGTCATGAACATCTTTTTCCATTGTGACTATCATGAGTTGGAGGTGAACAAGTGTATCAAAGCTACAATTCGACATGATCGTTTGACAGCCATCACAGGTGGTACTTCTACCACATTCAGTCTGAAAAATCAGTATCAAAAGATCATATTTAAACATTGCTAATTCAGTTCTACATTGCATTGTAAACAATACCATCATCAACAATAGCAATCCTCAATAATCCTCAGAAAGTTGGATCAGTACAACACAGCATTATGGTTGGGTAATAACAGACTTGACCTCTCAGGTAAGAATGTTGTTGCAGGTCAAATACTGTAAAATACTTTATTTTTGCTTGGAATTAATTTTTGCTGAAGAAAAGATTCAGTGAAAATAAAATCCGGCAAATATACCTTTTTTGTATGCTTTAAATTCATCTCTCCAAAAATCAGGGAAAATAAATTAAAAACAAAACACCCAAAATGTCTTTTCAGCAAAAATTAATTCTAGCTAAAATAAAACATTTTACATTATTGCAGAAACCATCATGGCAGGAGTTACCTTAATAATAATAAATTCTGATGGTATATAAATTATATTGTAATAAAATGTGTGCATAGTTTTGATCAATTCTCTTTCTTCATTATAAAAGTGTTGTGGAAATCAATAACAATGAAACACATTTTACAATTTTATTTCCCCCCAAAAATGTAATATTCTCCCTATATATAATAATTTTTGAGGCTTGATCAACTAAGTGCCTGCTCCTTAAAATCATGATTTTTGAAGTACCCTGGGTGACAAGTAAGGTATTACATACCCTTGGAGTGGTCCATCTTTCTCTGGGTGTAGCAGTGCATGTAGTTGGTCTACTAGGCATTGGTACAGATCCTGCAGTTCTCAAATTCTTCCTTGCAGAATCTGGCTTCCTATCAAATGAAACATAATGTCAACATAGAAATATAGGAGCCCAATCAAAACTGTGCATTTTTAACATTGTGCAGTTTCAATTGCAAAGTAACTTAAGGATGAATGAAATGAAATGTAATGCAAATCCACCATGCCGTAGCTGCCAGCCTGCACCTGTTTACCATCACCATTCTGCAGAACTGAAAGTACTTATACATTATTTACTGTGACAAGGCAAAGCAAAATAATGAAATGAATGATTTGTGATGTGATTTTTGCATAATAAAAAACCAAATTACATTACATAAAAACATTAACTTAAGGATGAATGACATGGAATGTAATGCTGATCCGCTTTAGCTGCCAATCAGGCCTGCACCGGTTTTACCGTCATCATTCGCAGTACTCAAAGCACAATACATTGTTTATTGTGACACAGAAAAGCAAAATAATGAAATGAATGACTTGTGATGTGATTTTTGCATAATAAAAAGCAAATTACATTACAAAAAAAAAATAAAAAACATAGTAAAATCAAGTTCATATGGTGAAGGCATATTATACCATGGTATAAACTTTTATGAAACCAAAAATAGTGACACATTCATTATATAAATGCTGTTTAATGAGCAATCCTATATAGGATAAGATAAGAGTTGCAATCAGTGTGATATGCACTGAAGATCCCATTTGAAATAACATAAATTGAGTAATTTCACTTTTCTTGCATATTTGCAGGTAATTCTGATTCCTTAATCAAATTAATATGGCATGTGTCAATCACATTCTGTAATGTCATTAACACAGAAATATGTTGGAATAGAATCTTCATCAAGTATACATGCAATCATTGTTGCATACCCTTATCGTATAAATCACAATAAAATATTTACATGTATAATACATATATTAGAATTACATGTCAATGATATCATTGAAATGATTCTACATAGAATATAGAGCTGCTGCTATCAAGTAAAATTGCCTTCAGAATTGATTACAGTTTTTGAAAATATATAATTTCTGGAATATTATTGAACTGGTCACAATAAACATGGCTGAAACTATACAGAAAATAAAGTCAATGTTTTTTTTAATTGCCAACTGACACTTTCATTCTTGAAGTTTTCAGGATTTTTTGAGGGGATTGTTTTTCTTTTTATATGATTTGTAGCAACTATTTGTAGGCAATGGTATACAGTGCAGCAGAGTGAAAAGTGAGTTACCAATCAGAAATTTGGAAAGGCATATGTTTTACTTTTTTTTTAAATTTGGGTTGGTTTGCTATACACAAGAAACATTGACAGACAAGTGTGGATGTTAGTAATAATATAGATAAACACAGTCACTTGTAACAAAAAAAAATTAGAACATTATTTATCCAGTCCTACACATAGGAGAAATACATTGATACCAAAAATGAAATTCTGAAATGCCTCAGGTTTGAAGAAACTTTTTGAAATATTAGCCAATTCCTGACAAACTCATGTTAAGCCAAGAGTGTTCAGGTGATTGGTTGAGGAATCTAGTGGTAATATACTTTTGTCATATAGTCATGGTTTGCACAAAACATTGGGGTGTTGAGAAATTTGAGTGATGTTTTACAAGTGACTGTGTTTTATTCGTTGACTGTTACTATAGATTACATGGAATGAACAACACAATTGATTTTCTCACACATTTCAGTCAGCATTTTCTCCAAAGTATATTTGACAATTATTATGGCTGCATTTTATATTTAATTTTTAAATTAATGTTTTCCTGTTCTCTCCAATAATGCATTGCATATATGCTCTGTAGTGCAAAATTTGATTCAAGTGAACAATTTAAATGTCATTTACCTTACTAATCAAGTGAATGTACTGAGCACAATTACCAGTCCTGATCAATATCGTTAGTTACCTAGCAATGTATTTGTATAGGCAACACTAAATTCACTAAGCTTTCTGGGCTCATGGGTTAAACATTAGTTGGTTCATAGATTGTGCAGTGTAAAATTAGTTGTTGTTATGGCAACAAAAAACATAGTTGAACTCTGGTGACCTTGCCCTTTGTTATATAATATAATTCCCTTTAACATAGTTTGTTTCAATATAAATATACATTGTCATAATTAATTTTGAATACAAAAAAGTTTTGGGGTTGAACTAACAGTGGGGAATCAGTCTACCGAATGTCCTTTAAAGATGTAAATATCTTATTTGTTTAATTATTTTAAGGGACATAATTTTTG